GCAAAATGGGGTGCGGCGAAATGTTCTCTCAACGGACAAACTCCCTTGGTTTGCTTATTTCTCTATTTGGCCGATTTCTACTCTTTCCAGCCGCCTCCCCAAGCCTGGTAGAGGCTAATCTACAAGTACTCATTTGGCTGTCCACTAAGTGAAATCCTACATGTGTGTATACAACAATACAGCTTTCAAATACAAACTATGTCTTTCAAGTTTGACGAACAGACAAGGCACAAATAGATTTACACTAAATTACAGATTTTGCACAGCTCAAAGTTGAGTTGTAATGCTTATAGTCCGGATGCTAGTAAATCCTTGCTATTTGATGGTAAACTGACTTCGGACTGAATTTTTTTCTTTCAAGATGTTTTTTTTTAATTTTGTGCAACAGTCTTTTACTGCTTCTAAACTATGTTAATTATCAAATTTAATGGATTTAGAAGCATTCTTATCAAAAAAGAATGACTTAGTTTTTGGATCTTCTTGGGCAATATATCCCAATCCTTTCCTTTGGTGACTTTCCTGTCCATTGTTGTTTGAAACTGTGTTTCTAGCATTTTGTTTACGCTAGACTCTTGGGACTTATCCATGGCCATCCTGGAATGGGGTGAGCCTGAACTGAAATTTGATTGGCTGGTTGATTTCTTGAAACTGAAAGGTGATTGGTTGTGTCCCAGTGGGGTTTTCCTCTTGTCACCTGATTGGTTGTCCTTGTCAGGGGTGCTCTTCATGCCTCCTAGGAGCCTGAAGAATTTCTGCTGCCTCTCTACACTACCAAGCGAGGCAATGGACCACTTAGTTGAGCAGATAACTGAAATAATTTTTCACTTTGAGATACAAGCACCAAACTTGGTACAAATACTCATGAGACATTACTCTTTTGAAAAAGTACGCGGGCCACTTGATTTGACTTTTGGCGCCCCCTAGCGGCGCTTTTTGGTACTGCAGCCGACGTTCCGGGATTTATATTTCCTGTTCTAAACATGCTACAGTCATGATTTTTATGTGGTAGAAAGCTATTAAAGTAAGGAAGAAGTGACGTAAATTTGTGTCTCTAGCAACTTGCGTTGGAACTGCAGAGGCGTTTTTGCCGGTGCACAATTTGCTCAAAGTGATTACGCTAGGGGGCGCCAAAAGTCAAATCAGCGTCCTTGGACTCCAAGTTAGAGCAAATTGTGCACCGGCTAGAGACTAGAGTGCTAGAGACACCAAAATTATCTGCTCCACTATGTTGGTGACTGAAAGATTAGAAAATAAAAGAAGTCAGCAAAAACATTGACATATAGTTAAAATTTCTCTCTTATATAACACCCTTTATCTAACTTATCAATGCAAGTTTGTACTACCATAGCAAACTAAGATATTTCTTTCCTAACTGAGAAGACTAAAGCTCTCTGACATGTATCTATGGTACGCAACATATGTGAATTAAATCTAATTTGCATGTAACTGCTTTGCATTTTTGTGTCTTCATCTTGCATTCAATCAAGCAATCAAGAAAACAAGCCTAGGATTGGTTGATTTTTTTCTGGCCTAAAGATAACAACATTAGGCCTATATGTTGAATGAATACTCACTTCGGTTCCCTTGATTTTTTTTCTTTCTGTTCATCTTCTCTCTTCCCTGTCACTGTTTCTTCATCTTTCTGCAGCTCTCTTCTCTTCTCTCTCTCCAATTCTCCCAGTCCATCTGGGTTCCCCTCTTTAACACTCACAACCGTCACATTGTCGTCACCACTGTTGTCATAAGCCGTGTTTAAGTGGAGTCACCCAAACCGCGATTCGGGTAACTCACATTCCTCACATCTGGTGAAACCGTATCCGATCACAATTCGCTTGAGCTACATTTATTGCTGCTTGATGATAACACGCAAGGTGGCGTGCTATTAATGTCAGAGGTCAACGACCTGCTTGCTGATGCCCCCCTCTCAGCGTATCTCGGCCGAATGCCGACGTGGTCCCGCCAGAGGCGGTGTAGCTCGCCCTAGAACGGACCCATTATTTGACCATTACTGCTCTTTAAGTTGCTGCCACGTAAAAGTTGGCACTGCTTATAAATAAAGAAATATCACCCCGTAATCCATGACCAGGCGAAGTTACATTGAAATCACATTGCGTTCAGACGCAAATCGCGATGCGGGAAAACCGATTCTAAACCACCTCTAGAAGTGGCTTGGGATCAAGGCGCTTTCAATGTGATTTCTGAGCGTTCAGATGGAGCCACTTGAAACCGGCTTCAGGGGAAACCACATGTAAACCGCCTTGGGTGATTTCACTTAAACACGGCCCAATTCTCCCAGTCCATCTGGGTTCCCCTCTTTCACACTCACAACCGTCACATTGTCGTCACCACTGCTGTCATAGTTGAACCCTACATTTGTGTACTCCACAGATCCGTACTGTTTTGTCTTGCCATTGTTTGTGTACATGCCATAGTCCAAACTTTCTGAAGACTTTTAGATGGGACCTTTTCTTTACTGACTTCCTGTTTCACAGTGATTGAGGATGTCGCACCGTTAACATGTTCCTTGTTTTCAGCATTGTCTTTGGTGTTTTTCTTTTTTTCTTTCTTTTTGTCTTTCTTAGCTTTGGGTTCTGATGAAGATGGTTGCTTATCTACTTTTACTTCTTCTATTTCCCTGTACTTTCTCTTCTTTGCCTTCTTTTCAGACTTGACATCTGTCTTGGAGCTAGACTTAGAGTTAATCGTTGAGTCTTTAATGTCAGCCTTTTGGGGTTTCTTTTCTATGGAATCAGAAAGGTCAAGCTTTTTCTTTTTCTTCTTCTTAGGTCTCTCCGAGTCAGAAGTGCTCTCTGACTTCTTGAGATTCTTCTCTTTTTGTTTCTTCCTTTCTAGGAACACACAGGTGCACACACACACACAGTGGCATGCGTGCGCACAAACACACACACACACTCACTCACACACACACACAACCAAAAACAAAGCAATACCTGCTACAAAGGGTTTATTCAATTTTCAGCAGCTTTTGTTTTTATATTCAGCCGCTAAAACGTTCCCGCTCTGGCTGTTTATATTGCACTTTAGTCGGAAAATTATATTCCATAGGAAAAATTATAATTTGAGGTCCATCGTCTTGTTGTAATTTCATTGATGAAAATGAATATTTGCACTTGATATGTATATATGTATAAAAATATATTCAAGTTTTAGATTCTGTGCCCACAGACAATCCTTTCCTTATTCCTTGCTACGTTTGGTGGTTTATAGATCAACCACTAACAATGTTTGTGGAGTAGCAAACATGCTATCAGTCTGTGGCAAACAGTGCCACAAGGCGACACATCCGTGTACTGCATGTAACACTGCAGCTGTGTCACGCCAGACGCCTTTTCTTGACAACATGCCGTTCATTCGTCGGTGCGCATCTGGATTCCTGCCAACGTCCGAGGCTGTCCGTGACGTCACTTCTCTCACTGAGGTCATCAGTGCTGCTAGACACACAGCTGTCGCGTGACGTCATTTCATAGCTTTGTCCTGACAGCTTGATACGTTTGCAGCTGTCCGAAGTGCTGTCAGAATGGACACGTTTGGAGGTTTCAGTTCTCGTGTCACCTTGGCGTGAGCTGTCATTGAAGAACTGGGGACTTGAGCTGACACTGTCACGTCCAAGTGAAGACTGCTGTTTCACGGCAATGTCATTGCTGACAGCGAGCCTGCTGTCCTCGTGTGGAACAGCAGACCCCATGAGGCGGCACTTGAAGCACTCCAGACACCAACACTCGTCATCTGAAGACTCGGACTCAGAGTCGCTGGACCAGACGGAGTGCTGACGTTTTGTCTCGGTGTTGGCTTTTGGTGCGACCGCCCTTTTGGACTTGACCTTCTGTAAAGACAAACGTTCATACCAGTGAGACTTACAAGGTCATCTACGAGTAGCTAATCTAAATCCCTCGAGCTCCCGATAAAAAAGTAATATTATCTTCGAACTTATGCTGTCCTTTTGATATTCAGTAAGCAAATATAAAACATACTGCAGCAACCTAGCACATTGTCTTATATTACGCTACGCTGTATACGTTCTTTCCCATTAGACAGACTTAGGGGCCAAACAGACGGTATCTACTACTTGATTAGATTAGACTCTGGTGGTCCCTGTCTCCCACACTAACAATCATATGAGAACCTTAAGTTTGTACCAGCAACTGTTAAACTTTGGAACAGCCTTCCAAGGGAGATCGCTAAGATCAGGGACAGTCAAGGATTCAAATGTGAAGTTAATTATTTCCTCATCGCAAACATCTTACAGCGTTCTGTCTAGGCAGTCCGGCTGCTAATGCTAAGTGAGAGCTGACATATTAGATTTAAAAAAAATCAGATCCACCCCTAAGACATGGCCAAAAATGCATGGCGAATCAGATCAAACTTTATTGCACAACAACTGTAGTTATGTAACTGAATCTGACCTGAAGAACCTCCAACGGTGTAGGTCGTGACGTCAGAGTTCGGGCTTGTGACGTCAGCCGTTTGTTCCCGGCAGCGTTACCATGACGACGCATATCGGGATTATGTTTCCCATCATGCCTTGCGGTCCAGGCTGGCTGAACACCTTTTTTCGTCATCAGTTGTGGAGCAGATGACGGGGTCGTCTGACGTGGTGTAAAAGAATTATAACTGTTATAGCAAATTTCTCACGAAAAGTCTGAGATATTAAAACTATGAGCAACTGTAATTGTGTCGAAGACTACGAGCATTTATTTTTAAAGTGTAAAGACTAACAAAATTCTGGGAAAACTTTTGTCAATTGAAATGTAAAAGTTTTAAATGTACTGTAATGGTAAATCTGTGAGATGAGAAATGAGAAATTGTACTGGGATACAAAACAAATTACTTGAACTCATCTGAAATATACGTAATAATCAACTTATTAATAGGGATCGCAAAGAATGTTATATTTAAGAACTGGTGTAGTAAAAGAAACAATAATAGATACACATCAATGGATCTATATCGTAATTCTAAATCAGAAATCATCTTATACTTCAACCTTGTAAACAACAGAATGTACAAACATGTTCTTCGTAATTTGTAAACTTTGTATTTATATATGCATGTATGTAATGTAATGTTGCCTTTGATGAATAAAGCTTGAAAAAAAATTTAATGAGCAACTGCAGCTGCTATGTATATATAATGTTTATGTTGTGAAAAAAAATTATCATTGGGATAAAAATGTTGAGGGTTGATTTGAAAAAAATTACCTGTTTGACGTCTGATCGAGATGTCGATGGGTGCTGGTATCCGTTACCATGGCAACGATCATTACCCTGGCTGTCCGTCCGAACACTACTTGGTGCATCATGGGAAGTTGTAGGGACGGCCTTTGCCGCTGGATGGCGTGAGTGAACAGCCTGGTCCTGTTGTAATAAAATATATAACCAAAGTGTTTTAGTAAGAGTAACTTAAACAAAAGAAAGACTTTTTGTTAACCATTAACAGACAACGAAATATCGTCCATAATGAATGAACGATTGAATGGATAATTAAAGGTTTTAATTGTACATTTATACTCTGAGCTTCAATTATAGGTCCCAACAGAAGAATATAGACTGTTTATGCATGTATACAGACACATTATCAAGCTATCACCAGAACTGTAGTCATACTACGTATGTGTTAATGGGCCTAAATTCTCCTCCAAGCTCTGATTGAAGGATGAGATATAGGAGGGCTACCACGTAATCTTATTTTTTCAAATAATTTTGTTAGCATTAGCATTTTTAATGTCTTGGACGCACATATATGTCAACTTTGTGTATTTAAATGTTAATTGTACTTTTTTGTTGTGTAGCGCTGTTAATATAAGTTATAAATTGAGTGCAGCGTCACACTGTCCGTGTTAGGTTTTTTTGTTTTGATGAATAAAAAAAAACTGTAGTCTGTCAAGTAAATTAGACTTCTCCTGGCTTCTCTGTGATGCTGAAAATACGAGTATAAGAACAGACCAACTTGTTTTAGGATCAAAGGTTTGTCTATACTCGTTGAATTATTTAACTTGTGTGTATTCATTCTTATGAAGTAATTATAAAATAAATACTCAAACACGACCTTGAACGCTACGCTCTGCACGCGCAGGCGCAATACGTTCTGCAAACATTATGAGTAATGGCTGGGCAAGAAGGTTCCCTATTGGTTCACTATAAATCACGTGGTTTAGTGACTTAGACGACAAAGTCCGTTTTACTTTGCCACGTCTATATATGTTCTGAAGGATACTTTGTTCCGCGCTGTAGATTGTAGCAAATACTGGCAACGTACGTGGCCTTCCACGTCTGGTAAAGAAAGGAACAAGCAGACAAGACAACCGTGCGGTGTGAATTTTAAGGTCAGTACACTGAGGTATTTACCAGCTACCAGTTTACACGATCAGAAGCCGACATTGTAATTACTGGTCATATATATCAGATGTCCTAGAAAATGTCGGGCCCACCTGACAAACATTGGCTTTGTCGGAACATACGCATGTTCCTTTCGGTAGTAATCGCTCCATTCGCCCAAGTGCAACACCATTAAATACCATCTCCACAGTTTCGTTTCCGTTTTGTCATCAAATTACCTTGTGAAACTAAGGGTGCGAATAGCCTACAACTTTTCCGTTATAATGCTGAACGAAGAGCAGGCTCAAGCACTTTTATCTAGAAGACGTAAATGTGTTGTGTTTGGTGCTTGGAGACGTTTATTCACGTTATGAATGACACGGGTCTAGAGAGTTGGCACATCTATAGAGCTATGCAGCCCCCCCCCCCAAAAAAAACAACAAAATTCTAGAATCTTGCTAGATATGGTTTTCAGAATTGTGGTTTTACCTGCTACTGTGGAGAAGTCATCACACGTTATGTTACTGGCTGTTAGAACAACCAGGTATCCTTTTCCGTTACAAAACAAACGGTTGGTGTCATGTTCAAGAATAATGTCACGAACTTTGACCTTTACAGGTGTGTCTGTAGTTCCGGTTGCTATAAACATGGCGTCGGCTTTGATAAAGGAGATCAGCGACGACTTCCTGACGTGCCAGATCTGTGTGGAGATCTTCAGGAAGCCGAAGAGTCTTGACTGTCTTCACTCCTTCTGTGAGGAATGTCTTAAGGAGTACGTGAAGCCAGGTGAGACGGTGGTTAAGTGCCCGACCTGTCAGCGTGACACACCGCTCAAACAAAATGGCGTCCCTGAACTGAAGGACAACTTTTTCATTCTCAACCTCGTGGACACAATCGGGGCGCGCAAGAAAGTCCAGCACTCCGTGGACAAGCTGCCGTGTGAGAGTTGTGCGGGGAAGGGAAAAGTTGTATCCAGGTGTTTGACGTGTAATGACTTTCTCTGTAAATCATGTGTCTCCGGGCACAAAACTATGAGGGCGTTCAAAGGTCACCTTGTTGTGACGCTGGACGAACTGAGGTCTGGGAACTATGACGGACAAACAGAGAGGAAGGAGCCGACTTGTGACACCCACCCTGGCGAGAAGATGCGGTTCTACTGTAAAACACACAGCGTTACAGTCTGTCGCGACTGTACCGTCCTGGATCATCCCAAACCTGAACACAACGTCATCAATCTCACAGAAGCTGCAAAAGAAATAAGATCCTCCACCCAGCAAGCGCTAAAGAACTTAAAAGAAGTTTTGCACGAAACAGAAGAAGAGATAGTGGCCACAGACAAAGCCATCGTAGACAATCAGACAGAATGCAAGAAGGCCGAGCAGCTTGTTGATGAAAAGGTCAGTGATATTGTCACGCATGTAATGAAGATAGGAGAACAATGCAAGGAAAATGTGAAAGCTGACTATGGGTGGGAGGAGAAACAGAAACGTGCTAAGAAAGAGGAGCTGGAACTGAAGAAAGTGCGCCTGACCAGTACAGCGGAGTTTAGAGAGAGTCTTCTGAATCACGGCACGGATATTGAGTTGGCGACAGCAAATAAACAAATCAGGGAATGCGAGGACGAACTTTGTTCGCGGGGGTTTTACATGGTTCCTATTGCCAAAAGGAAGTTTTGGCCATCCTCAGGCAGCCTGATACTTCAAGGCACGGAAGAATGGAGTAAGCTACTCTCCATTAAAGGTAGATCCAACTTGTTTTTTTTTTTCAATTTTAACTTGTATTTAAATTTGTAACGTGTTGTTTTCTTCCGCATATGCATATGCCCAAAATGAATCAAACTTATTAGTTCATAGTGATAATAAACCCATTTCTGGGTTCCCCTAAAAGTTTGTTGAAATCATCGTACGATGCAAATATAGCAGTAACAGATTTACAGCAAGACCTATAGTAAGCTTTTTGGATCAGTTACGAACGACGGAAAGAACGACATGTAGCCATACCGACATCTAAGACCAGACCTACATTTCATTTCATTTCAGACTGCATTGAAGGAAAGCAGTAACAAACAAGAAAAAGGGGCGTGGCGGTGAAATGCCAGCAGTAGCTACCGACAGCAACAACATATTGCGGAAAGCATTGTCCTATACCTATTTTTGGTCAGTAATTACTGACTTCCAATTTCTGCCTACACCTACACGTTACGTTATGTTCGACAGTATACAACGCATGGTCCATCGTTTTGCATGTGCTATAGATTATAAGGCCACAGCAAGTGATTTTTATGGATGACATCAGCGCGTGGATTCATTTTTGATTTTGAAAAAAAAAGTTACATTTTGTTGCTTCTATGGTCAAAGATGTCTGTTGCCATGCCGGAACGTGGGTGGCAGAAAAATATGAAACGAGGAGACAAGACAAGGCTCAGAAAATATATTGTGTGTCTTTTATTTGATGCAGTGATGTATTTAATTCCCTCCATATGTGATGTTCCCCATGTATCAAATCTATTTGTACAATAATTGAAATTTTTTATATGTTTCTGCAAAAATGGATGTTACAATAATTGGCAGTAAACTTAGTATAATGTAAGGCCATGTTGTTTAGATTATATGGATGGCATCCGCGCGCGCATGAAAGTTTTCAACCATACTGTAAATCGTGCAAAAAAGTTGCTAAATGAGCAAAAATATACCATAAGTTGCAGGGAAAACATTTAGAAACGATACCAATGTCGTAGAATGCCAAAATCAAATGAAAAAAAGACAAAAATGTAAAGAAATGAATTCGAAGAGTAGATTATTCGCCATAACATATTCTGTGCCATTTGTTCAACCTTCATGACCACGTAGATTTCATAGTGAAAGCAACTTTTTTTTTTGCAAAACTTTTTTTTTATTCGCACGCGCGCATCAGTTTTGGGGTTCCCAGAGGATGTCATCCATATAATCAAATCAACATGGCCTTAGTATCGTTTCTTGTTTATGATGTCAAAATTTTGAAATATAGGAATCTTGTCTTTTTTGGCCGCCTTGTTTTTTTGGCCCCATCGCATTAGATTTGGCGTCTGCGAAACATACTATCCATAAAATCTACTCGCTGCGGCCTAACTTACATACGTAGACTATAGTGATAGTGATAGTTTGACCATGCTTGTGTTTACATGTAAATACAAGCTAGTTTTATGCTGTGACTTGTATTTAACCCAATGGGTACTATGTATAACAAACGTCTTGATACATTCATTCATCCATCCATCCATCCATCCATCCATCCATCCATCCATCCATCCATCCATCCGTCCATCCATTCATTCATTCATTCATTCATTCATTCATTCATTCATTCTTTCTTTAATTCATTTATTTTTTAATTTAAATTTATTCAATTTTTTCACAGCATGATTTAAATTCAATTTAGTAAGGTCCCATATAAGAACCATACCGTGTAATAACCATATTATATGATTATAATGCAAACATATCAGAATATGTAAACATTCGTGATGAATCATTAACTTTGCTCCGACCTTTATTATGTCTCATTGTTATGCAAATTGTGATGATGTAACATGTGGCAAAATCGTCTCAGTTATCAAACAGAAATGACTATGGGATATATCTCACAAAATCTGTATATAACGTGGCGTCTTTGAGTTATTACAAAGATCACCATATAAAAGCATGTCATTTTGGTTTCACTTTATCTTACACTAGGTACAATGTAGGTTAACAGTTTGTTAATTCTATAGATATCTTACATGTTTGCTCAGCAAAGTTGTTTTGTGGTAAGGGCATTTGATTTAACATTGAACATTTTGAAGAGGCATTTTGTTATATTTTTGCGTCAAATATTGATATATTTTGATTGCGAAACAACTTTGTGTGATTGTAATTCACTTCTAAATATTAACATATTTGTGTAATTATCTGACATTTCTGATTAGCACTTAAACATCCCACACGAGGCGCATTTAGTTTGTGATGCCACCAAAAATACCAGATTGTAATTTTATACACAAACATATGTGACTCATATTTTGGCACCTACACTTCCTGACACTGCACGAAAAGTTAGATTTACCAAAGGTAGTAAACTCAGGTAATGTTTACTATGTACACAGTATCTGGCTTTACTACGGCAGTAAACAAAGGTCAAGGTACCGTACTCGACTTTTTACTACCATTGTATAAAGTCCAGTAGTGTTTTAAAAAAAGTTAACATTACCTCACTTTACGCACTGGTATTTACTGCCATTGGTGAATATAAGTTTTCGTGCAGTGTAAATGACAGTTCGCAATGGAGTGGAACATAAAGAAATGACCCGAAACTTTGCGTTTTTACCGCATCGAATGTTGCCTAATGCAGCATTTAGCCGAGTACAAATGGTAGACATGGCATGTTTGTTTCCTTGGTAATGAAATGTAGGCTTGCTTTGTGGTGATCAAATCTTGAAAAGGCAATAAAGTTGTGAGTTGTAAAATGACGTTTTATTCTATTGCCCCATTGTTACACTTGGGCGTTTCAGACATACAACGCATAAACATCACAAGACATATTCACTACCATGTAAATATTTAGATACATACAAACTAGTTCGAAGAGAACATTTTAGCAAATGAATTTTACATTGACAAAATCTATCAATGGTGATGTTCACCTCTAATCATCTTATACACGTCACAAGTATGGAATTCTCATCCTTCGGTAGTTTTGATTTTGAAATTTTTGCATTAAGTATGTAAATTAGGCCCTTATTTCAGAACTGATTATTATGCATGTTGTATGTATTGAATTAAAGTCCTATCATGGAAAACCCTGGAATTGTAGTATTTCCCGATAAATAATGCCTTTTTTGCATAATTTAAATCTAATTTTGTGCCTCATTTTAATTGATAGATGATGAAATACCAAAAACGATGGAAGACCCTCCTTCCTTTCTTAACCCTAAACAGTACACCTGGGGTCCGCGCGGACCCCAGCACTATATATTCTGTAATATCTTTTTTGTTTCTAAAGATTTTTTTCTGAAATTTTAGGTAATTGTCACCCACAAAGTTGTCTCTAAACACAGTGCAGAAAACTCCGTTTCTACCATTTATAAAAAAAAATTATATCTGATTTTCTTTTGGGGTCCGCGCGTACCCCAGCCGGCTTTCGATCATAATGGATACACTGGCGTTCTTATACATTACCTTATTTCCGTTTTTATATGTTTTTATGCACTCATCGTATGTCTACCAAGTTTTCAGAGAATGGTGTTGTAATAGAATTAAATTTTAATAACTTTGGTGTAATTATGACGTCATATGACGTCAGAGCTAATAATATAGTCCGCCATATTGGATTTTGACCAATGACGTCATCAAATTAGCATATTCTATGCATATTAAATGATTTAACTTATATTTAATTATGTAAGATGTTATTCATGTTGGAAAAGAAGTGTAATTTAATATAAAACTCAGAAAAATTTTATGTTTAAATCGAAATTAAAAAAAAATGCCTGCTAGAAACCCGTTGCCATGGCAACACAAAAAAACATCAACTTACTAGTATTAAACTAATATGAACTTTTTTCCAGAGACATTTTAGGAAAGGTCTCCAAATTTGATACTTCTAGCGCAAGCCGTTTAGCCGCTATCTGAGATCAAAGTTGGGCCTCAAAAGCCCCTTCAGTCTGAAATGGGTTTAAAAATCGGGTATTTCTTCTTGTCTTCTTTTCTTCACAAAAAAAATAGAAAAAGTTCAAAATGTATGATTTTTGTATGTGATGTGAACACAGAGGTTACCACATCAGTTTGCAAAACAATTGAGCTGGTAGCATGTTGATAATTTCTAAAAATTAGCAAAAAACTGTCTTGGGGTCCGCGCGGACCCCAGGTGTACAGATTAATCAGTCCGGGAAGGTGTACTGTTGAGGGTTAATTTATTCTCTTTAGAAGATTTTTCATACCATACCCAACATTGTTGATCAAAGGATACTAGCCCTTGTCCTGCTGGCATTCCTGGCACAATATTTTTCAATAATTTCATGTCTTAATTAGATCATAGACCCCCAATTTTTTTGCCCTGCAGCAGTGCAGTGGCATAGTTACTTTCGCATTCGTTGCGTTTTGCTGCGGTGTGATGCGTTGCACGAGAAATACCCCCAAATCGTACCTATACAGGGTGTTATATAGATGGTACTGTATGTGCCGCGCGACATATGTTGCGCACAGCAGAACAAGGGCTAGTACTGCTTATTAAGCGTTGCTCACCTGCAGGCTACCGGGGAACAGCGCGCGGTTGACCCGGTAGGCCGGCTGGTGCCAGAAGCCCTCCTCACGGCCGCTCCAGATACCGTCATGCCCCGCGGCAAGCGTCCTCCCACAAACTGATGGTGCCTAGAGTGAACAGAAACTGTATAACTGATCCTAGGTCTTCAGCCAAGAACTCCATCTACTGAGGTGCACCAGCTTCTTGGATGGAAGGATGTAGCGACCATTCACAAAACACACAAACTCATACTAGTCTACAAATCACTGAACACCTTGATGCCGGGACACATGAATGAACTCTTTGTAACTTGTCGTAAGAGTGCCATTAGAAACACCAGGCAAGCGTCCTCCCACAAACTGATGGTGCCTAGAGTGAACAGGAACTGTATGCAGAGATCTCTGGCTGTGTCTGGGGCTACCATGTGGAACAGCATACCAGAGGAGGATGCACAGTGTGTTCCATCAGTGAGAACTTTCAAACAAAGAATACGATACTTGGGGTACTATCATGAAAGTTCAAGTCTGTAGACTGACCCTTCAAAGAAGCCACGTGACAAGCTTCACTGGGTCAGTCTACTGAGGAAGACCAGAGTGACTGGTGGAAAGCTCTAGTATAGGCGAGAGAGTTCTTTGTGTTGGATCAAAAGTTTTAACTTTAAACAAAGAATACGGTAGTCGAGAAATTTTATTTGCGGACTGATTTGCGAACTGTGATTTTGGACAAGATGTGATTATTATGTTAGGTATTTAGTAATTTATTTTTGTATTGATTTGAATTTTATTTGAATTTTATCTACTTATTTATTGTGTTCCCGTG